TGCTCTCCCCTGCACTGTGCACACAAAGGAAATGAAGAAGCAGACTAATGTTTCTGCTAAGAAATAAAATTAACCCCATAAGAAATCTTTCCAGCAGAGGAAACAACATGGATTTCTTTGCCAAAATTTCCACCATACTGTGAAGTATAATGTGACATTAATGAGCAGAATATTCTGTGTTCATCCATCAACCATAATGCAGCTCCACAGCATTTTCTTTGGAGATTTTTTCCTCTAAAAACGAAATCCCAAAGATTACTGTTTAATTGACATAATGTATCTTTTTAATGACTGTCTAGATACCTGTGGAGGTGAAGGAACTGATAAGTTTTAAATGCCTTAGCCTGCCTGAAAACCAATTCAGTATCTTTCCAGAGGAAGTCTTTCTCTTGGAGTCATTACAGAGATTATAACTGGGACAAGATAAAGGAATTAAATTCAGAAGTCTGCCAGAAGACATCAGTTAATCGCAGGCAGGAGCAATAGAAGGGGGAAAATCTTGGTTTGCTGCAACATGGAAATTCCATGAACTTCAGCTGCTTCCAAACGCAGGACTGAAGGGTCTCCTAATCTCTTTAGGTACATGGTGCAGCATCAGGCCTGGGCTGTCAGAATAGGAATAATATCAGAAATCAGTGTTTAAAACTCATGTTGTCTCTCTGTGTTTAGCAATAATCCCAACAATTTCACAGTTTATAAACTTCTGCACTTGCTGATATTCTCTGTATATTGTTTATATACCAAGCTAAGGAAAAATCCTTTACTTACTAAACCTTCTGCACACATATTCTCCAGAATCTGAAGGAACTGCATATGGAAAATAATTGTCTGCAGTACCTGCCCACAGCCATCAGCTCATCGATACTTGCAGATCCATTGTGCAAACATATTGAAAAGACACTTTTCTTTGTGTGATATTATGTTTGGTTTGTTGTTTTTCTTTTTCCGAAAGAACATTGCTCTGTATCATCAGTGAGTCACATGGAACTAAAAAGAATACAGGGCAATAAGGAAGGAAAGGTGATTCCTCAGTCTTTGATTCTTTTGAACCTAAATTATTCCTCTCTTTCTGTAATTCTGTAATTTCTTCATGAGCTGCTATTTTTCCCAAACTATTCTTCCAAACTAAAAAGTGACATTTAAAGATGTGTAGACATTGTCATTTACTTTTCTAATCAAAGGTATGGGGGACTAGTGTCCGCCCAGGTAAGAAATTCTTCTTGAAAAACATGAAACAGAGAGTAAGAGAAAAATCAGATGACTGACAGTCCATCTTAGCTGCCAATAATGTAGTCTAATCCAGAATAAAAGGGGGTTTTGAAGAACAAAATGCTTTTTGCACCATGAATATACACCAGTGACACCATTCCACAAGGCTTTTTGCTTTTACCCTTTTCCTCCAGGTAACCAGACTGTTCTTTCTTTTTCAGATCCAAAGTTTGTCGTGTGGGTTGATGGACCCGAAAGGGATTGGAACTTTCTTGATGCTTAATAATTTAATCAAAAAAAAAAAGAGAGAGAGAGAAAGAAGGAAAAGAAAGAAAGGAAAAGGAAAGGAAAAAGATAAGCCCATTAAAAAAGTGAAATTTGGGCAGTAAACTGCACAGAACTCTTTTCTTTTACAAGAAGGACAAATGTGAGCAGAGATAAGCAAGTGGGAGACAAGCACTATTAAAGCATCTGAATCAGTGAGTGTGACAATGAAAACAAATTAATTTTTTTAGGTTTGATTTTGTGTTTTTGTCCACATTGACCCCAGCTGAACCAGGCAGAGTCAGAAATGTTCTTGAGATGTCTCATTATGAAGGCATGTTATCTCTAATCGTAAAAGTAGATGATTAGGTGGAAATTAATCTAATCTGGAAATCAATCTAACCTGTAGGAATCTGGTGCAATGAAGTGTCAATTGTTCTGAATCCCAAAGTATTTCTCTTGCAATTCTTAGAAATCTGTTTGCCAGTCAGTGAGGTACAAACATATTTACAGTGAAACAATATCTGTGGCCCCACCTACCAGCAGTTGTTTAATGAGTTTTACCTCCAGAAATGATCAGTTCCTTGTTTGGAAATACAAAGTAGGATTCCAGGCAGTCAGAACACACTACCAGAACCTGCATTACCATCCTGCCTTACAGAGGTGTAAAAAGCTGTTTTGAAAGTATCTCCACACTTTTGCAAAACTGTTCACTGCTGTTTTGACAATCTGCAGTTACAGCATTTGGAATGACTGCAAGCTGTCACATCCTCAGTGGTGCATCTCTTCCCCGAGATGGCTCGGTGACAGTTTGTGAAATGCCTGTGCGTGACAGATTTATATGAAAGCAGTCAGTCTGCAGGATACAATATTCTGCCATGATTTTGGTTCTGGCACATCATAACATCTTTGTTATTCAAAAGAACCATGACAAGCACTCCTCACTATAATTCTTGCATGCCAAATTTATCTGCAACCACATCTTTCCACAGCACTTTATAGAGAGCTGTTTGTCCCAGACATCTGATATCCTTGTCTACTTTTTATTCTGTGTTACTCAGTTACTCCTTAACCCCCTCCAGAGTTTTATTTGCAGCATATACAGAGCACAGAGCTGTGTGGGACCTGCCACTGTGCAGGTTCAAAATGCAGAGTGGATGGGAGCAGAACCCTTTATTTAGTTTAACTAGCTGGTCAGAACTGCAGTCCTGCTCTCCCTCCCCTTGTCTGAGTTGCCTCAGGGAAGGTTGTGCATCCTGAAGGAGGTGGTGAAGGCAGGTCACTGAGACCAGCTCTTCCTAGAGTTGCATCTCTCTGAATCTGCATCCAGGGTATGAAACTCATTTCTGTTTGGCTCTTGATTGATACTGAAATCTCATTAATATGCTTGTTGGCAGGAGAGAGCTGGGACTGCGGGAAAGTGGGACGGCTCTGTTCTGATTTTCCATTTCACTGCTTTGATTGAGGCTGCTTTGATTGTTTGGAGATGTCTGGTGACATTTTTTCACCCTAAGTGAAGGCAAAGAGGAACAGAGAGAAGGATAATTCAGAGAAAATCACTGGAAGAGAGAGATTTCTGGGAAGACTGGCAGATAGACAGGACATTTAATAGAGGTGATAAAAGGAATAAAAGCTTTTTAGTGGCACAATAGGTATGACAGAATCATGAGAGGGCAAAGGACTGAGCAGGGGATCAGGAACAGCAAGGGGAGAGTTTGCTGCAGTGGGTCCATAATACACTCTGGAGCTGAGAACCCAGCTATGACAGAGTAAGAAACCCCAACACTGAAGTCCAGGAAGATTTCAACAGAATCTGGATGTTCAAGATTAATTGGAGAGAGAGGTTCAAGTGGGAAAGGAGTGATTAAGAGACATCCTCACAGAACAGATAAAGGATGAATTTCCCAGCTGGACCAAAGGCATATTTGAGGAGAAAAGTCACAGGAAGGCAAGTAATTAAGAGAAATGGTTGGTGTGCTGCTGTTAAACAGAGATGATGGTACTTCCACATGTCCTGTCTTAAGCCATTGCTTGAAAATCTCTCATCAGCCCTGTAAGAAACAGGGGCTCTTTGGTTCATTTCAGAGTCTGAGGGTCTGTGTAGGAAGTAACTGATCCCACACTGCAGCAGTTCCCTCCTGCCTGTGACCAAGACACTCCAGTTCAACTCACATTTCTCAGAGCTGGGGAAGCCAAGCGCACTTTTCAAGTGGAACTGGATCCAGGGAGACTTTCACATGAAGTCATGGATTAAATGATCAATAGGCATCAGCACAGCATTGTCAGCTGCTGGTGATAGCCCTGACCAGCCAGAAGCTGATGTTGGAAGGATCACGTGGACTGAAAGGTGAATACTGATCAGCATCTGCAGGACAGAACCTGCTGAGAGGGGCCTTAGCAAGTTAGGAAAGTGCCACTGACTGATCCTACTGTGCCTCTCCTCCAGGAGGTTGCTGCAGCATGTAGAGATACTCAGAGCTAATTGAGCAGAACTTTATCCCTCAAGCTGCCTCAGGATTTCTCTAAGACTCCTCACTCAGTGGGCAGATCTAATATCTTTACTTCCTAAAATACCTTACCGATGAATAATCCCACTGCAGTCTTGGAGCTCACGTGTGGGTTAACATGCTCCATGACACGACTGACTCTGCCAGAATTTGGCTCTGTGTAAGAAAATGCAATAAAATGTAAAAAAAAAAAAAGTAATTATCACATTAAAAAGGAGCTGGTTACACATCCCAAGTTGGTGCTTTTTCTAACAAGTCTTGGGCACTGAGCAGGGTGTTGGGTTCTCCCTGGGAGCTGCCCTATGGCTTGGAATAATAGACTTTGCTTATTTCCTTCATCTCTGGGGTAAGGATAAGAACATTATGTCACAAGGTGGTGTGAAGGTTGATGGATGAATCCTGAATGCAGGAAGCATGAAGACACTGCAGGGACTCCCAGTGGCTTTCATATGCTCTAAATCAGTATCTTAGACATGGAATTTTGGTTTTGTGCTGCATGTCATAAAATGGTCTGTTCCAAAAGCTTAGTCTGGGTAAGCCTGAAACAGCTCAAGATGAGAAGAAACATCCCTAAAGTATCCTGAAATTTTTACATAATCTCCCAATTATGTAGATTTAATTTATTCACAAAGAGGCAAAAGTTTTGGGGGAGAAGAAACTAAAATTTAAAACACAGAGGTTTCAAGTATTTTCACATTAGAGGCATTTTCTGAGGCTGCATTCACACTGGCCACCCACCTGCATTAACACACATCCCCTCCACTTCCCTGCACTGGCAAACCTGCAGTGTGTCCATCTGAGTCCAGCTCTGCTCTTGGGGCAGCACCCACTGCACCATGAAGATTAAATAAGTGTCTACAGCGGTGTAAGCATGGCCCAGAGAATCTCAAAGAATAGGTTATTAAATGGAATGATCTATGATGCAGAGGGTTAAATAACAGTTTTCTATAACTGTGAAACTATTTCAAGAGATTATTAAAAACTGTGTGGTCTCCTAAGTGAGAGACACATAATACTTGGTCCATGTGCTGCTCATGAAAGGCCTCCCAGAAACCTTCCGCCTCCATCAACAGTCAAAGCGAATGTTTCTTTTGTTGTCGTGATTAAAGTTTTCCAGTTGTTTCCTCTGGGGTTCTGAAAGGACCCATCTCTGCATGCCCAGCTCTGCCAGGGCAGGGAGCTGTGCCAGTGCTGCCAACAACTCACTGAACCACGTCCCGCAGTCCCGGCAGGACGACGGGCGGAGGCTGAGATCCAGCTCCGAGAGTTCCTTGGATACTGCTAAACCTTGGCAGAAAACAGCCCACCCTTCATCAGAGATGCTGTCATTGTAACTCAAATCCAGCTTCTGCAATCTGGAGAGATGGCCATCCTGTGTCAGTGATGCTGCAAGAGATGATAGACACAAACACAACTAATAAATCCTGGCAATTGCTTTAAAAGCTCCTCAGAAAGGAGAGTCGTATTTTAATACCTTATTATTTAAGGCTTTTCAGCAGTCAAACAGCAAGATTTAACTCCTCAGCAACATAAAATCACTTGCTACTGACCTCAGAAAGACTGTTTTTTCACAGCTGAAGGAGTGTACACCACTTAAAACATGGGTAATTCCAAAGGAACAGAACTATTGAGTTAAAAGGGTATGGCACCCTGAAAACCCTGGAGTCAGTTGGAAGGAGGTTATACCAAGTGCCAATTAAAATAGGCAGACAGGTTTTACAGTGAGATTTAGGAAGAGGAAAGCAAAACTAGATGAGGTTGGATTGCTGGAATAGCAACCTCTCACTGTGGGAGGGCCTCATATACCCTAAAGGGAACTGGGGTCCTTAACGTGTGATTGGTAAAGGAGACACCCATCAAGGGTGATGGGTTTTAAAGTCAAAAATATTCAGGCTTCACCTGACCAGATTTCACATTCCAGGGCCTTAATAGCTGTCACACAGCTACTGCCAATCTCAGACACTCAAACCCCTGAGTCAGGGCCACAGAAACACAAAGATGAGTATAAAATGAACAAGTTTTTAAAAGAATCCTAGAATTCATCCCTTTGTCATGTTCCCATTTTCCTGTATTTCCCAGCAGCTGCTAAGAGGGGGGTGAAAATATTTCTGTTTTAATTCTCCCCCAGTAGTCTGACTCCAGAACACACCTAATGGATTGAGAGCTGGTAGTGCCTGTATTACTGGCTGTCAGCACATACATTTTCTATTAAGTAGTGAACCCTAAAACAGAAATTGAGCAAAATAAAACTCCCCAGAGGCAGCTTTAAATATCTGATATAAAAAAAGGGATTTAAACCCTACATTTTCTGTGTTTGGTGGATTTTTTTTATTAATAGATAAAAGTGCTAAAATATTCTTTGTGTTTTATCCTTTTCAGCTTTTGCACTGAACATGTACAGGACATAGAAGATGACAACCCTTTCTGGGAAAATACTGCTGTATTTTCCATCTTTTCCTTTGATTTATGCAAAAACGTGCTCAGCCCAAGGAACAAGTCCCTCCTGAATTGTGGTCTAAATGCCTGGACTGCAGGTAAATACCATGTTATACGTACTTAGAAGTGCCAAATCTTCAGCCACCAAGTTACAGCTGCTCAGTCTTAACACTTGAATCTCCGCTGCAAGCTTTAGTGCTCCCAAAAGCAGCTTTAGGTTCCCACCAACGCACTTATTCCAAGAAAGGTCTAATATCTCCAGTTCAGGAAGGTGAAGGGCAGCTTCAGCTGAAAAGATTAAGACCAGCAACTTCTGCTTACTAAGAGAAAACAACACGGCCTCAACAGACACCTCACCTGCAATTCACCTGTAAATAGGATCCCAACAGGCTGTGCTTAGAGTGACTTCTTTTATCCTAATAAAAGTCAGACAAAAGAAAATAAGAAAGGCCTGCCTATAGATTCTACAAGGAATCTGTGGAGGGGTTTATTGTGTTTCTATTCATGTTATTGGCTTGTCCTTGTCCCATTGAATTAATTTAATTTAATTTAATTTTATATTAATTCAAAGACAGGGGTTTTTTTTCTGTGAACTCACTATTTAAGGTGAAATGCTCTGTATCTTCTGACAACACTGATTTCTATGGTGTCACTCTTACATAATTGCAATGATATAAATATAGTACTCCTCCTGCAGGGACTTCAGATCAGTTTTGATTGCCTCTGCTTCTGCTGGAGGCAGTCAAGTCTTACTACAGGTTTAATGTCACTAGTAAACAGTACAAAATATAGGTGAACCATACACAGTAACTGAAAGATCCCTCTGTATTTAGATTTCATGTGCCATATGGAACACCTATCACAGGCACAGTGTAGCCACTAATCCACTGAGATTTGCAATAAGTAGGCAAAAGAGGCTGAATTTACATATCCTATGTTAGACTGGACTTTTCTTTATGGCTGTGCAATATCTTTTCCACTCCTACAGTAATTTCCTCTTTTGCCCCAGGCTTCACTCTACCCCAGAAAGTTTCTACTGAAGCTTTCACCTTCAGTGAGGTGAAAAACCCTCAGTCAAAACTTTACCCCACTAAACTGCAAATGAAGTGTTACATCCCAACTATAATTACAGCATAACATAAAATCATGTGTTCCTTTATCCCCCCAAATTAGGCAATGTATAAAACACTATCAGACAAAGGACTAAAAGGGCTTCAGCCAGTCAGATATATGGGGGGAACTGCTTTAACCGCAGGCTTTTTCCCTCGGGACCTGTGGTACGATGTAACCATGATCCTTGGAGTTCAGCCAAAGGAGAATGAAGTGCTTTGTCCCACAGGGATACCCAGAGAATAGACACACTTCAAAGAACATTCCTACCTAGTGATGAAAGCGACTCTTCACCTAAACCACAGTTGCTGATGGCCACAGATTTCAGCTTCGGCAAAAACCTGAGCCGGCCCAGAAGAGGATCAGATGAGACTCCTACACTTTTATTCGAGGATAAATTCAGCTCTTGAAGACTGGAGAGTAAAGGTATCACCTGGGCTATGAAAACATCAAATATTTATTAGACAGTCACATATCCACAACAAATGTGTAGTTGTATATTTGCCTGGTATAATTTCTTTTCTTTGTAAGTCAATCCAAAAGTCAAGGCCAAGCTTTTACACTCAAATTCGTGGTAATGTTTTAATCCATGAATAGCCTTGTCATTTTCAGTAAAAATGTTCAAGAAATTAGGTATTCCATACTGTGTGGAAGGTTGTCAGAACGTGGCTTCCAGGAAATTTTCCAGGTGAAGAAACATTAATTAAACATTAAATGAGATGGGGATTATTTCCAAATGTCTTCATTGCTAACTGAAACTTCATCTTATGCTATTATTCTCTATTAATCAATAAATTAAAAATAAATAACAATTGCTATTACTAATAATGAATATTTCCCAAAGCTTAATAGGCAGCTTTTCAAATAATCTTCTTTATTGTGGAAAAGAAGATGTGGGCAATATAGACTTTGAGTCATGGCATTTTGTTGTTGTTAAGGGTAAAAACTAATGTCAAAAAGTTATGATAATGCAAACAGAAAAATAAACTGTTTTACAAATTGATTGGGAAATGCCTTTTTCTTCCCAATAGCGCTTATAGTTGGATCAGTTCAACCTGGAGAAAGCCACAGCAGCAGCAATGCAAGAACTCCTAAAATCACTCTCTACTCAGTGTGCACTTCACCAGGAGAGTTTTAGGCAGCTACATGTCCATGCACATACACACCTTGGATCTATCTAATTCATAGCAGTGGAGGAACTGTCCCTGGGTATTTCCAAAATTACTGATTATCAAAAAAAAGCAGTGCTTAGAGGCAGTTCCCACATTCCCATTATGGGTCTGAATTATGGTGGATTCAGGTCCTTAATTCCACGTGGGATCAGGCACTCTGAGATTTCCTTTGGTTCAGCAAAAATACCCCTCCATATTGATCAAGAAAGCTATTTCCCTACACTGCACCTCCAGAACTGCCTAATGAAAAAATACTGAGATCAGCTATTCTGCCAGGCAGAATTCCTTACGTCTTTGAGATATTTTCAGAAGTCAAAACCTGGATTCTTAATGAATTTCCTCAACATGTCCTTACACAAAACGGTCATGTCCTCTTCTGTGACACAGCACTGGTGAAGATCAAGGACTTCCAGATTTTTCAAGCTGGCCAAATGAGCTGTTGAGTCTTTAAAGCCACCGCCAATCTCTCTGTTACACGATATGTCTAATTTCCTCAGCTCTGTGAGGTGCTGCAAAGCAGTGTCTGAAATGGGAGAGGGGGCAAGCTGGTCACTGGCTGCTACAACAGCCCAGGTCACAGCTTGGGCATTTATTTACTTCAGCGTCAAAGTTTGCACAAGGTATTGCAGGCAAAGCTCTTAGACTAAGCTTCAGAGTGTAATCACAGCAGACATACAGTAATACAGCAAAGCTTCCCCATCCATGCAGCTCCATTCCTCTCTGAAGGAGCAGGTGAAGGTGAGGCCAGCTCATCCCCCAAATCCATTCAATCCTCAGCCTTTTGCAGGAATTGCTGATGGATGTGCTAATTAATGCCAGTTGTTTTGCCTTATCCATGAGACATCCACTAGGGAGAGACACAGATAACAAGCCCATTTCATATGGCTTCACTGGGCACTCTCTAAGTGATAATGGTGAATTTGGATTTCCCTGGGAGAGTAGGATTAGCTTGTTAAAAGTGAGCTGGCCTGTCTGTGTCCTTGTCTAGGTTCTGTTTGGGGAAAGAGGAAGCATGTCCAGGGAGCCACTAATCAACCCTGAGATGTGTCTCAGATAAATGGTGTGGAGGGTGACTCTCCCCGTTGACTTTCACATGCTTGAGCTCAGGGCAGATAAATGTGACTCCTGCTGAAAGCCTCTGTAGTCTTTTATCAATCCTCAAACAGCAAATAACGACTGTCCATTAATGCTGCCAAAACATCAGCAAAATCCCACCTCATTGCCTTTCCTAAATGGCTTTCAGATGTACAGTTTATTCAGAATGAAAGTCTTTCTGAACATAAAGTCTAACCTAAGCCCTGGAGGCTGTCTTGCTTTAATCCACACATGTGCAAGTTTAACTCTTTCAAGCCTGGCACGTTTTTCAGATCCTGAGCCATAACCTTCATGCTGCAGCCGATGTGTTTGTTGATAGAGAGATCTAATACTTCAAGGTTTGGGATCACATTTAGAAATTCAGCTGGGGAAAAAAAGAAAAAAGAGAGGAAAACAAGAATTGGTAATTGTCTGGAATACATACAGATGAACCCTAGAAAAACACAGCACCATGACAAACAGAAAGAAGTGGGCTGGGTTTGCCTGTACATGTGGCTTAGTCTTGCTAAGTTCCTGTTCTACCTCCAAAATACAGCAAAATAAAGATTGGATAGGAATCAAGAAAAATCAGTGAAAAACCTGTATGAAAATAAAGGTGAAAAAATACGTGGACAGTTGAAAAAATACAGGGGAATAAAAGCAGAAATACAGAGAGAAAATACAGAGGATTGTATGTTACATATGGGCCTCCTCCTGCAGTGGAGATGAGAGCACAAAGGCTTCTCTTTACAGAGAAAACACCTTTGAAAACAAATACTCAGATAAAAAGACCACACAGGATTACACTGTGGTGAGAGACAGATGGGAGGAGTGGTCAGTGGTTGCCAGCTCAGCCTAAATTCCCAACTCTCAGGCTTTCTTTCCCATCTCATGGATAACTACATATTCAGCTGCTTAATTTTAAGCAATCAGTGCTGGAAATTTTGGCACACTTCTTTTGCTCAAGGTCTCAAAAGGTCCAGCACCCCTGGACCACAGAGGCTGCCAGACTGTGATTTAGATCTAATTGTCTCCTCAATGTTTCCTCACATGATTAGAGAAAACAACTTTCTTCTTTGGAAGAAACTGCATTAAATCCCCACATTTTGTCGTAAATACTGTTATAATGCATACAGCCATCAACAAAGTCAAATAAGCTCCATTCTTGTGAAGCCAGTCTCAGTCCAGCTAGATGGACACACATACCAAGGGATTCCCCATCCTTTGCAGTCAGGTTACAGTCTGTAATTTTCAGACATTTTAACTTGCATCCTTTCTGGAATTTTTTTGTTAGCAGCGATAGTTTTCCACCTATGTTACTGTTCCACGACAAATCCAGTTCTTCAAGCTGAGAAACAATTTCAAATGCCTCTCCTGTAACAGAAATATGGGATGATTCATTCTAGGTATCAATTTCAGTACAAACAAAAATACAAGTCTGAAATATATTAAAGAGGAAGGTTTGCCACTTAATTCTCAAATTACTTTATTTTTAATGTTTTGCCAGGAAAATTGTTGAATGAATTGTTGCTCCTGCAGCAAAGTTGTATAAAATCTCACGTTGTCTAAGGAGCATTGTAGATCACAAGTCATTGTTACAGTACACACAAGACCTGAAATTTATTCACATTCCCAAACTCTCATCAGGCTGTTGGACATCATTGTAAACCTGTGCCAGGACCCAAAAAGTCCAGTCTAGAGGGAAATCAATACAAGTGACAAGTCTGAATTTACTGTCCTGTACAGTTCTGCTCTGTTTTATTTGGCAAACTTCCAACATCCTCTGTGCTGTGTCCACAGGTCATTTTGGAAGGGAGGAAAGAATTCCTCACACTACTATTTCTGAAATGTGAAAGTTTCATGTCTGACAGGAGTTTCTGACTCACTTCATAAGAAAGCAAGATGATCATTGTTTTGACTCGAACTAACTTTCCCATGATTTCAAGGCAGACAGCACTGACCTTGATTACATTCAGAAAAATCAGCCTTTTCCAGGCTTGAAGCATCTGCCAGCATGATCTGTGCTTCTTTGAAACACCAACATCCCACTATAAAATCCAGCTTCCTAACTTCCTTTGCAGAGGAGGGAGGCAGATGCATATTTGCATATACTCATTCCCAAGAAAGATCAATTAATCAGACCATATGCAAATGCAATTTCAAAGTGTCCCACAAAAATTTTTGATCCAAAGTCTTGTCATCAACCTAATAATTGAGAACTGTATTTTAATAGTAACCACCTTTCATGTCTGTGTGTTTTCATAATTAAGTCTTCACAAAAGATTTATAATAGAAAAATAATTATTTCTGTAAGTGAATATCTAGGTTTGAGAGAAAAGGATATGTCTTAATTTTTATTTTTGCATTTATTTTAAATTATTGCCTCAGTCTTGAATACTGAACAAACTGTACAGTTGAAAAGTGCAGCAGAGCCTGTTTCTGCTTGACACTAGGACAAGCATTCCAGACACACTTTCCACCCAGAAGATAAATAAAGGACCATAACTCCAGGAATGGTTTCCTATCCCCTCACACAGTCACAGCTCTGAGCAATCTCATAGGAAAGGTTATTATGGTTACATTTGAGACACTGATTTCTAAGCAGAATGCACTGAATCCACAAGAGGTCACATTTCCTCAGATAGATGTGGACAAGGTCAAACAGTCAATATTGGCCTAAATACATGAGTTATTTTCAAAATTGCAGGCAAAATCAATGCAAACTGACTGTTGTTATTCCCCATGTCAAGGGCATCACATTTCGACTGGAAATTCAAGTCCTGTGATCAGTTTTGTGTTTGTCTCAGCAGAGGATAAACAGATATGGGAAGGAAACAGCACAGAACCCTGCAGAATAAATCAATTGGAAATATAGCAAATAAAACTCAAAAGGAAAAAAAAGTATGAGAAAAGAGTTTGAAAAAGAATTAACTTAATTTGAAAAAATAATAGAAAATAAAACACAGATTTTACCCTCATCAGAAATACATCAATTATTTTCACTAGCTTTTGGAGAAATGTGTTTTTCCTCCCCAGCAGATAGCATGACCTGCTTTTGAGCTACCAACATATACGTAATTTTATTTCTGAACCTTTCTTGGAAAAGGCTTGGATATGAACAACATAAACACCAGCTTTTAATCTCAGACCAGTTTTAGAACCTGCAAAATAAACAGTAACTTTTATAATCCATAGTTGATTGAGTTTGTCCTTCTTTTACATACAAACCACAGATCCACCCCAGAGTAAACTCCAGGCCCAGAGGTGACTCAGTGTCAGAACCTGAGTGTGTAATACCATCTTTATAACCTTTAAATCTCATGCCTTGCAGAAAGCAGGGTGCAGGCACTCCAAGGAAAGCATTAAGCAGAGGGATGGGCTTCTCTCAGACTTGCAAAAAACCCAAGTCATGAAGTTCTGAGGCAGCACTTCTGTTTTTTCTCCTCCAAAAGACCATTGGGGTTTTTATGATGAGCACTCATCTGTCCTGCAGCTTGAAGACCTGAGCTGACCCTACTCTGACTGACTCTGCTTCAGTTCTTCTGTCTACCATTAGATATCACAGCTAGCCAAAAAAATACTGATCTAAGTTGAAAACATGCTTTCCTGCAAACAGGACTGAATTCTGTTCCCTTCTGAGTGTGAAAGCTTCACACCCTGAGGAACAAACTCGGCAGAGGTACCTAAGGGTATAAGGTCACCCATAAGCCCAAGTTTCTACTGTTTCACAGCAGGAGTTGACATTGCCCAGTGTGGAAGCAGCAGGAGTGGGATGTAGGAAGAGATGAGATGGATTACATTAGCCCCAAGCTGTCTGGAAGTAAATGTAGATGAAATCCTGTACCTAAGGAGATGACATCCTCAGCTGTCAGCCTGCAGTTGTTAAGTCGAAGGACTTTTAACAGGTTCACATGATGAAGATGGACAGTGAGAGCTTTCAAAGTCCCACCAACACAACCATTCCAGGACAGGCTGATCTCTTCCAGCTCTGGGAGAAATGGCAGTAAAGAAGCTGCAAGGAAAGGAAAGAAAAGGCACATTTGCATGTTTCTGCACACTCTGGATGTCAACACATATTAATACTGAGGTGTTTTCTATACCAATAAAGCATTATAAAGCCATGACAATTTGTACCTCAGTTTTCTTATCTGTAGTTTGAGTGTAAGGACATTCATCTGCTTCACAGATCTGTATGATTTTTATATTTATATATATTACATCATTTATATGATTTATTAATTAATATTTCTCTGGGACCACCAGATGAAATGTTAAAAAACACCAGGTCTGTATAAAAGAAAGAGGAAGGAAAAGAGAAGAGTGAATAACTGAACAGGCAAATAAGAATTAATGAAGGGTATGAAGTGATTAGTTGAATAAAATGTTTATTTACCCAGCTCTGTTACATCTTCTTCACTTAATGTACAATTATTTAGATCAAGATTCTTGCTGTTGGGTTTCTTTCCCAGTTTCTGCATGAACTGGTTAAATCTCTGCTCACCAGATGGGGACTCCGCTTCAGAAATGAGATGTGAGTGTCCATCTGAGCAAGAGAGAAATAGGGCCCTGGTTACCTCTGGTACTTACAAAAGGTGTAAAACCTGCCTGAGGCTGCCATGGGAAGACTCCAGGAAATGAATTAAATCTGTCAATAAACCAGGCTCTGATTTTGATCAATGTTGACCTGAGTAGTAAGATCACTATAGATCAAATCACTACAAAGCTCCTGATGCAGAGTGAGAAAAGTGTCTCCCGTTGCATCTCTCCACACTGCCTTGTGCCAGTGACTTTGGATGTTTGGAACTGCACCACCAGTTCAAGGACATGAAATTCCTGCACAGCTCTGAACTGCAGCTGTTTGGGATGCACAAGCTGTGTTACCACTGCTCAGCAGTCTGAGCTGGATCCCTCAGCACCCAGTGGCCCTACAATTGTGTGGTGAACCTGCTGCTTCCTTCATGGCAACCCGTGTTCAGCTTCATACATCATCTGTGTAAGGCAGTTCCTGCTTTTCTGGGCTTTGCAAAGCGACACCCACTTACCTCCCTCTTCTATGCAGTTTGTACAGCAAGGAAAATTGCATTTACATGCAATGCTAAACCCTTTAGCAAATCAGTAATTTCATCTAATGCCTACTGCTGAAAAAAAAGCAGCCAAAAATTACACAAAATAGCAATCCCACTTTCAGTAGCTGTCCTGTCACTGTTTCCCCAAACTGACCAAAAACCCTTAGGACCAAGGATGGGGTTCTGAGCCTCACCTTCCAGCTCCTTTTTTAAAATAGCTTCATTTTCCCTGGTGTGAGTGTAAAGAGTATTCTTGTATGTGCAAAATAACATACATGATGAATTCCCATCCCCTTTCCTCCCCCTCCCCAGTGTCAAGTGGAAGGAAACATCTCCTCTTCTTGTCTTCAGATTGCTTTAGCAGCAGGGTGGACAGAGACCCATCCTAAATACAACAGGCCAAGCTACTGCTCAAAGCTTGGCTCAGAAACCAAATAAGCTCTGCAACTAATGAGCTGACTTCAGCACTGACCTCTCACATGGGAGACCAAGGGAGAGGTCACCCAAAAGCTTTATCCCTCCTCAGCAACATGGATCTTACTCCTTGCTTGGCACCTATCAAATTAGAGGGTACATCCTTGATAATGTTCCAATCAGAAGTAAATCCTGATTAAAAGATAAGCTGTAAGGAGCAAATACAGGATTTTGGCTAGCAAAAACAGCAACTGATTTTCTATGAAATTAAAATATATACACGTGCACATATATTTCATTATTGTACCAGCATTACCTTCTACAGAGACATCTTCCTTCTCACTCTGATCATCAGCTCCAGAGTTGTTTATTTCTTTTTCTTCAATTTCCCTTCTGTCCTTGCCTTCAGATTTCCCAAAGTCAAAGCCCCTGAAGAATTTTTTGATGGCTGAAGGCTGCTCTTCCCTTTTTTCAGGAGCACAGCTCTTTCCTTGGAACTGTTTTATAACAAAGTCAAACGGGGAACTCTTTGGGGTGTCCTCTTCCTGCTTATCCTGGCAGTTCAGCATGTCATCTTTCAGGGGATCAGCAGACATAGAATTAGTTTTTGTAATGTTCACTCTTGCTTACCTTCTTTCATAATGGCACTGAGAATTCACCACCATTGCCTTCATGCTAATAACAGAACACTGTTTAGTTGACCAGACTGAACATATCTCTCCTCCTTCAAAAGGAACTGGTAATGCTCAGTGTTGGCACAGCAGACTCAATGGTCTCAGTCCTCGATGGCACAAGTATCACTCTCTGCTGCCTTGTTAAAGCAAACTGCCCTCGAGGCCACCCCACCTGAGCAGAGAGTGCTGAGGACTAACCTGCTGCTTCCCCTGGTATTCAATCCCCAGGTTCAGCTCATAGTCCTGTGGCCTCATTTAGAGAATCAAGGCTGAGATGTCCCTGTTCTGAGGGGATGCCAGGTTACATCTGATACCAAAGTAATTTTTCATGCCAAAGACCAGTCTGGCAGTCAGGAAGGTGAGAGGAGGAGAAGGAGGAGGAGGAGGAAGAGGAGGAGGAGGAGGTGTACAACAGGGAGAACAAGGCCATCCTTGCCTGAATAATGTCACAGCTCAGGGTGGAACAGGCAAATGAAACCCCAGCACCCTTAGAGCAAAGCTGAAGTGACAATGCCAAAAACAACCAGATATCATAGCTGTGGACACTGGGAATGTGTCACTGCTGGAAGAAAACAAACCCTCAGGGAGCTTATTTGGAACAGTTCAGTGACCTCAGTTTTGGTCACTAATTCACAGGCACAGTAAAGTTTGACTCTATAATTTACACAGCTTTCCTCATTTCCTTTTATGCTTTTATACAGCTTTCCTTATTTCTTTTTATGCTACACAAGCTATAGCATCAGCCAGTGATTCTGAAGCTGTTTTGTTTTTCTCTAAACATTAATTGGACGGTCTTTCTTTAGTTGTAATTCCAGCATTTGCCCACACAGACATGCTTTTAATGGAGCAGTCATGAAAACTAAGCAGGCATTCATTGACTTTGTGAGGACTTTGAGGAAAAGACATGTACGTGTATGGAGTCCTGCTGTGTGCCATCGACTGCGGGGGGAACGAGCAGCGCTCAGCCCCCGAGCCTATAACACAGCAGAGCTCACGAATGGATTCCTGTGCTCACACAGACTCCGCCTTCCCCAGCACAGACCCGCACACAGAACTCGTTCCACAATTTGCTGTCACCCACAGAGTACATGAACTCGGTCATTTCCACAACCATCAGTTATGAAGAATGTCACTGGCATCCCCTTCCCAAAAACAGAGAAACACATGAAGAAGAATCAGAAACCCTGTGACTTGCACAGATAGTTTCCATGTTAATATAGCAAGAGTAAAAATAAAGCAAATGTAATTTTTATATACATATACTTTGTGTGTGTGTATTTAAAAATATGAGTATATATATATACTGATGTGCATATATGTATGTACATTTTCTCATTGTGTTAGAAGTTTTCTGCCATAATACAAGTTTTCAAGGGCAGAGCACTTACAATTACAAGAAGCTGATGCACTGTTTAGAGTCTGGCTCTTAATATGTTGTCACAGCTCTATTTCTTATAAATACAGAGCTGATACAAACCAATGTACCGAGATGTACATGCACAGTTCCTGAGCTGCAGAGCACTCCTGCTTACCCTGGCTGTGATTTCATGCTGTAGAGTGGTATTATTTTAGACAAAGAACATACCTGTCTTCTCCATTGGTTCTCCTGAGGATCCCTTTCACGTTTCACAGCACTTTCAGGGCTTGCAGGAGAGGTGAGCCATGACACGCAAACAAAACCCCACTCCTCTCCTTAAGAGGAACTTTGCAAGTAGTTTTCTCTCACAAGTTTCTGCCTTCATCAGTTTGACAGCAGCAGCTCTGCACAAGCTGTGTGTGGGCTCTTCCCCAATGCCTCTATTCCTTTGCACAGTATCCAAAAGTCAGGCTGCTGTCCCTGGCCTCTCTTTTCTGGAGAGGGTGGAGAAGTCCATGTAAATTCTCTGATCATGTCCCAGCTCAGATCACTCTCAAGGCAGAAATCAGGAAGTGGCAGCACAGCCCTCGATGCTGCACCCAAACCACTGCACCTCCCTGAGACAGCTGTTGTTAGAAGGGGCTGAGTCACCCTATAGATCAGGTTACAAGACTACCTTAAGAAAAGCTCTTTGTTTTCCCACCCCTTTTGTCCATAGTGGTCAGAAATAGTGCTGGAGGCTGAGCAGAGCCCTACTGTCAGCAGGATGTTGCACAGTTCAGTAAGGAAAAGGGATACAGAGGACCAGGGCACTCCTGTTCATTTTGGGGCAACAGGAGACAGGAGAGGAGGTCACACTGCATCATCCACTGCAATCTGCTTATGGGCAACATCATGATACAACATTACAATGCAATCATTGGACACACCCTATATTGCCTCAAACTTCATTATATCTTTTTTTGTCTGTCTGCCCTGAAGTCTGATTTCCATGATGGAGAACCTTACAATTCCTATCTTAACCATAAAATGGCCATTTATGCTGAATCTCTTTAGCCTTGATAATCCTTTTCAATCTATGAGGTCTTCCCTTTTGTGGGCTAAACCAGCCAAACTCTTCTTATCTCCCCTCATATGGCAAATTCTCAACTTCCCTTATCATTTCCTGCTCACCTGTGTCTGCACCTGTTGCAATATAATTTATACTTCCTTAAACACAAGAGGCCATCCATGGATATGGGCACGCTAAAGACATATGGGAACTGGAGTGATTTTGGTGGGGAATGATAAAGCTGGTAAACAAAACTAATGATTCCATTGCAAGCAGCTGAGGACAGGCCTGACTCAGTGTGTCAATGCACTAATGATTCCCACAGGGTGGAATAAGGCACAAGGACCCAAAGGATAAGATTAAGAATAGAAAAACTTAAGAGTGAACATCATGCCCATGAGAAGTGTCACACTGGGAAACATTTACACCAGGGAAAAATGCACAAACCCACTGTGATCAACCATCTTTCCCTACGTGACTGGAGGGCACATTTCTGTTCCTGAACAGAAAGGATCTCCAAGCTGGTTTTAGGGTTTTCTGACACCAGCAGTGACTGTCCTGTCCCAGTTTCTGAAACTAGTATCTCACTACAGACCTGTATCCACTGGGAAGGATCACTCCCTGTGTGCTATTTAACTTCATAAATTCAGGCACCTCAGCTATACAGACTATGGAAAATCCCAATCACTTGTGTCAGTAAAGAACTTGTTGGATTTGGCAGCTCTTTACTTGTGCTTAACAACGGAGTGACCAAGGATGAAGCAGGGACAAAGCAACCTGTATTTTTGAACACGTGCCGGGTTCTTCTGGCCCAAGACATTCAGTGCCCACTGCAATTCAATGAGAATGTGGAATGGGAATATTTGATAACCTCTATTCCCTGAAACTGGGGAAATCCTTAAGCAGGTTAAGCACCAATTACAGTGGTTGGGCTGGGATAACTCGCACAATCTGACATCAGTGTTCCAGGTGATGTGCTGCCCATGCAGAAACTCTTTCATCACTGGAGGCTGTTGAGTGACAGTGACAATCCCTCACAGGCTGCCTGTAAATCAGTGAGAAGGGAAATGCAGTTTCACAGTGTCTCCTGTTCGTAGAAGGCAAACCTTTACCTTTTTTACAACAGCTGTGAGGGAAGAGGGGACAAGAGGGTTATCCCAAAACAAAGCAGTTAATGAGAGTGAGGTGGCTGCACTGGGCTGCAAACACGAGCAGTGCTTTGCCACAGGCCCAGGCTGTGCTGTAACACATGATCTATCACGACAGCCAAGCTCAGCCAGGCCCTGTTATCTGCTGTGTCTGTCTCCTCTGTGACACACTTCTGAGCAGGTGTCCTGCTCCTGCCTCCCAGACCTGTGTCTGCTTCCTGCAGCACGTCACGGGCAGCGTGGGGCAGGCTGAGCTTTTGGAGTTTAAAAATAATAAATGCCTTCCCCTCTCTATCCAGTTAAATGGTCTGTGACCATCTGCCGGGTGCTCAGTGTCACACTTGTTTATATCCACTCTGCCCTCTGTCTAGGCCTAGGGCAAGGTTAGGAACAGAACCAATTTTGGAACAAAATAGTTAAAGTTGCATCCCACACAGCATCCATCAGTGAGAGATTAATGTGGATTTTTGTACTTTGCCTCATTGTGACTCCTTAATCCGGCATATATTCCAAAGAAATAATGCCATTAGAGGATTAGTGCCACAAGTTCATTTGAAAAAAAGGATTTGCAAACACTGAAATCCTATATTCTATGTACTTAATCACCAAGTATCATTTTGGGGATTTCCTCTCCCTTTAGTAGTGTCTCTTTCAATGAAACCCAAGCAAAGTAACAACTCTGTTTGGGATGACCCTTATTATCCATTAAGGAAAACAAAACCCCAAGCATCTGGTATAAATAATGGAGAATCTAAACTCACTGGATTAAACCCATCCTTGCTGCCTTACAAATGCTGCACTTATACCAGGGAGGCACTTGGCCCAATATTTATATAGAAATTAATGATTTGGGTATTTATGTGCTAGGGATTTTTGATATTTTGAATCCTGTAGCACATAGTAACACTGACCTTTGTTTGCTTCCATGGCAATTCCCTTCCCCAGCTTTGCCTCCATGGGCTTCTCTTGCGTGGCCCAATTTTCTGCCCCAGTGAAGTGGGGGCAGTTTCACGGACCAGGAAATTGCTGGGGGTGGAAAAAGGTTTATTGCTCCGTGGTTGACTTGGCCAGTGCCAGGGGATTCACCCTTGGGCTGTGCTGACTCAGAACACACGTGCCAGGAGCTGCTGCCAAATGGAGGTAGGGGAAGAGTGGACTGATCCAGCACCAGGTTCACTGCCCTCATCTTTCCCAGCCATGTACATCAAACCATGCTCTCCACAGCTGTCTCCATCCTCTCTCTCCTTCTCTGTCCCTTCCACTCAAGCTCTGACTTTGACCCCTCATAAGTTCAGCCTTGCCTACACAGCTGGGAATCCTTCAGCTGGCACTGATGCTGTGCCACAACATCTGTGTCATCCACTCATTTGATGCTGACTTTCTTCACACCCAGGCAATCCACAGAGCAGCAGGGATCAGCTTTAGGGCCAGACAAAATCCTTCAGAAGAGACTGCAAATAGGATGGGGTGGAAAGACCATTCCCCAAGGAAGAATGGACACAGCTGCACTCACTGGGAAGTGCTCTGCAGAACCAAGGTTAGGAAACACAGCTCAGGCTTCCAGGTACAGGTCAGCACTGTGTTGTCCTCTGGATAAACACTTTATTTTCATCTATTCCTACACTCTTAGAAATATTTTACAACATTGACACTTCCCTGGAGCAAACTCATTCCAGACTTCCCAGATCAGTGTGCATGCCTGAGGATTCAATTTGATCCAAAGTGTTTGAGTATCCTCATCTTTTCCCTCAAAATAAATATTCAACCTTCTGATTTTGATGGCCCAGAAGCCTCAGTAGTTCCTCAGGCAGCCATTTAAAATACATTTCACTGTGTGAAATGAAATGAAAACCAAATCAAATCACCTCATTCCATATTTATGGACAACCATAGAGTGCTCACAGGAGGGGTTTGAGGAGGCACTGAGAAAATACAAAGCCAGATAAAACCTTGGGTTCACAAATGTGTGCTGAGTAACCCTAAACAGCCCCCTAAACTCTGTAGATTTCATGGGTGGAAAGGTTGAGGAAGATTTTGATATTTCGCTGTACTTCAATACTTTGAACATAACAAAAAGTAAAGTTATGAAACTCTGGTGCCAGCATGCAAAAGTGAGCTCTGCCTGACCTGAGGGGGCTGCACACTTGGCAGGACAGGGCCAGGTTCAAGGCCAGGTTGGACTGGGCTTGGAGCAACCTGGTCTAGTGGAAGGTGTCCCTGGCCATGGCAGGGAGGGTGGAATGAGGTGGTCTTTAGGGTCCTTTCCAACCCCAACCATTCTGGGATTCTATGACAGTGACATGTGCTGGATGGACTCGCTGTGAGCAGAGGTGTGTGACAGGCCCTGTTGCCACTGATTTATTACAGCTGTAAGAATTTCAACCTTCCATATACCAACACAGACGGTAAATACGAACTGTAGAATTCTAAAACAGATTCTTTTTTTCAAAGCCAGAATTTACCCTATGAACTATTTAATATTAGCAATTATAATTAGATTTTTCCAACTACTCATTCATATTGAATATGCATTTTGAATTCCATAAAATTAAAGACTAAAAGATCTATAGCAGCAAATGTATATTTATATCCTCAATGCAGACATTTTTAACACTCTGATATCAAGTTACTCCTTTTTAAATGGAACTACACAAGTAGAAACTTAATGTTTCATTCTCTCTTACAATATACGAGACTAATGGAGAAGATTTTCAGTCTGGAAAATTCTTTTTAGTTGAACTTATGCCAGGATTAATCCCCTTTCAGTTAATCATTTACATGAATGGGCAATCTGCAGAGTTCACGCAAGGCCTGCAAACTATATTAATTACTAGAAACCTAATTACAAATCAACAGAGTCAAAGGATCAGTGGTACTTCCATACGGTACCATCTGGTACAATGGGGCTGGAGAGTTCACCAAAACTCCTCATTGCATTGTGTGCAACTTCAGCCAGAGTGTGTGTTGACAGAGAGAGCAAGTTTATGCACATACAGGAGCTGATTGTAAAGCACTTTTAGGGTAATCCTAAAAGACGGCACCTGATCCCTGTATTCTGGCTGTTATTGCAAAAGTTGGTTCAAAATAAACCCTAAATCCATACTCAGGGTAATGGAAAAAAAATGGCTAAACAGGCCAATAGGAAAATGTCTGCCATGAAATGGTTTATTAGAGTTACAAAGTATGTGTATTGTCAGGTTTGTTAGTTATTACTTTGTTAGTTATTATTCCAATATAAAAAGGCATGTACAGGGTGAAATTCTGTAAATGACATGAATATGGCACAGTGCAGTTTCCATTATGTCTGGTGTGCATGCATGGAAATGGTAATTTAATTTTATCAGTTGATTTGCTCTTTCAACATGTGGTGAGTTTAAAAGTTTTGACCAAAACACATTAGTCTTCTCTTACACCATGTTAACCAAACAAAAAATGAGATCCTTGAAACCTCAACTTGTATGGTTTCCAACCATTTTGATACAGGGACACATAAAATCCAGTCTTCTTTCCACATAGATCATTTGGTCAATTTAATTTCCAAAGGATCTTAATGGTTTGCCATATTTCATCACTGAGATTCACTCATTGGCTTTTGGAATTGAGATCAGCCACACTAAACAAAATTTAGTGGCTTCATTTTTGTCTAAAGTTTGGCTCCAGTTCTCTCTGATTAATTCCTGGATTTCCATTGGGAATGAGGCAGCTGTGTAATCCACCTGGTTTCTCCAAACTTCTCTCAAGAGCTGTGGTAAATGTAAAGCTCTTCCTCTGAACAAGCAATCGTGTTGCAACCTGTTGCCTTTGCAGTGAGTATCTGCTGGCCCTGTCAGTATGAATTTAGTACAGGAGAACATCAAAGTTGGCCACTTTTCAGAGTGTCTGCAACTGAATAAGGAGCTACCCCACAACCAAGTGAAGGGCTGAGGATTGGGGAAAAAATTAACTCCCAAGGAATGCTCCAGCTTGAAGGACATTGTGCACAGCCAGGACATCAGATGATTACAGTGACTCTGACACACAGCTTTGCCTGTTCCCTTCCCTGGTTATTTTTCAATTTCTTGTGCAGCAAGATCCCGCCTGTTTTTAAGCCTCTGTGTCACTGTAAAGTCTGTGTTTGTTCCTAATCCCGGGATTCTAGGACACAGCTTCTTGTTCAAACTCATTCTTGCAATTCCCAGCCTACAGGTCCTAGACTTCCTAGACTTTCCTCCTCTCTTTACTTATGCTTGTGGAAACTGTGCTCTTCTAGACTAGACCTTCTGGGGAAAATATGGAAGGAAGTGACATTTAGATAAAGAATGTGATGTGTCTGAACACCAACTTCATTTTGGGAAAAGACAGGTTGATCTGTGATAAATAAGCCATTTACCAGGTTCTGTATCAGTCCAGTTAATTTCATTATACAGAAATATGTCTCCACTGAAGTGGAGATAAGTGGATTTTTACCTTGCTTCAGTAGATTTGATAAGGAGAAGAAAGAGGGATTATCACTCTTTCACAGATTCCTCCCTTATGACAGACAGTGTTTAGAAACAGTGGATTAAAACCTGCTTAGATTCTAGTTTAGCAGGTTCTCTACTTAGACAAATCCATTCCAGCACTGCATCTTGACAACCAGCATAATTCTTGAACTAGTAATAAAATTATCTAATACAATTTCTGCCTTCCATTTTTGAAGACTGATACATTCCATCAGCTGAGCCAGGTCTGTCACTGACTTTGTCAAAAGGGAACAAAGAAAAGTTCTGGCCCAAATCAGTGCTGATAAAATGTTGAGTGACAATGGTAAGACTATATCTACTTTAGTGCAAGGAGCTCATTCCACACTGATAACCCACTCTGGTACTCCAGGAATTGTGAAAGATGTGGAGTAGTTGACATTTCTTTTGAAATTAATGGAGAGAGTCTCCTTGTTCATAATTCAGCTTTGGAACAGTACCTAAACTGCCCAGAACTCTACATTACTTTGTCCCATTCACAACTCATCTCCTACATCCCTTTTTCTCCCTCCTTTGATGCTTTGCCATTTTTCCTGCTGGTGAAGACCACCAGCAGGAACAGGAATGCTGAGAGACACCCAGACCACTGCATGATTCAGAAACACATCCCTGCCTGATGCCTGCAAAATCTCATCAAGAACAACTTGGTCTTCTCTGGACAGGGACCACTGAAGCATCTTTGTGCACTGTGTTTGTCACAGTTCAGTGCAGCCCACAGCAATCCTGCCTCTGTGCCAGAAACCAAGGGCTCAATGCCAGGGATCTTGTGAAGCAGTTTGTTCTCTCTCCAAACTTCCCTCATTAGGTAAAACGGGAAAAAATAAATATATATCCTTATTATATTCCTGGTTTGTTTCTACCTCAGGAAGTAATTTTTCCTGATATTAAAATTTTTGTGGTTTTCCTGAAATGCAATTCACACGGATTAAAACATCTGATGAAAAATGGATGCTGTTGCAAGACTTTGTTTTTAATTTATTTGGGCAACCCCACATCTTACACAGCATTTGCTTCAACTTCACCCAGAAAATCTCAAAAAATTCCAGCAGAGGAACTTATTTCAAGACTGTATCTACTCATTACATATCAAGTCACAGGTTTCTGTAGGCAGCTACAGACTCAGTGGAATGGATTGAACACAAGCTGAAAATTATCTTTAAGCCTGGAATGCTCCTTTGCTTCCTTCTCTGCCTGTACATGCAAAGATCTTGACAACAACATGAAAACTATTCTCAGGTTATTTTAGTTGGTGTCTAATTTTTTTTTAAAGCAAGTCCTAAAATAATATTTAAAATCTACTATTGGATTTTTTAAGCAATGTTTCTGATTTTCTTCTTTGTAAAGAATGTCCAGAGAGCAACAAAAGAGCCACGATGGCACTTGCAACAAAAATATTTAGAGAGCCTCAGTCACTTGAAAAAAATCCCATATTAGATACTGCATATGTATTTTGTGTTATGTTATAAAAAATTAGTTTGTTTTCTGTGAGGACGTGCTGAACTATAGCAGAATCACATCACTTTGCTAACAATAAAACTTCCTTGAAAGTGATTTTCAGTAGATATGAGCCCAATTTCTCCAGATTTAGGCATTGGTTTAGTGTTTGAGAGAGGACGAGGGACAATTTTTAGTTGTTGCAGTGAGCACCTGATGAACTTCAGGCAGGTGTCCAAGGATTAACAAACATCAACACTGTTGTACCATCAGCTGACACGGA